GTGCGCGCGGGGATGTCGAAGCTGGACAGAAGGGCAATGTCATTGACCACAACAACGTCCGCAGACTCGACGTGGAAGGAGGCCTCGACAGACTGCTTGGACAACTTGATCTCGGACTGGAGGACACCGGCGAGGGGCACGCTGTCGTAGGTGGCGGAGAAGGCAATTGTCTTTGCAGCGTCCTCGGCGAGGAGCTTTGCGACCACCGCCGCGGCGGGGGTGGAGGCAGCGTCGTCGCGGTCCCAGAAGATGTACTGCTCTGCGTCAGCGCCCTCGGACAGGAGCTCGAACGAGTCGATTGTCGAGGCCTCGGCGGTCAGCGCCTCTTCCGGGATCTCGATGGAGACGCTGTTCTTGCGCACAATCTGGTCAAAGATCCAGGCGAACTGCTTTGGCGACCAGACAGTCTCGCGGGCGTACTTGACGTCGAGTGTCGGCGGAGGGAGCTGCCAGATGCCGCTCATGGAGGTGGCAGCGACGACGTCGGTCCAGAGAGCGCTCTGCACGGTCGAGTCGTTGACGGCCGTCTGGTCATTGACCTGGCCGAGGACGGCGATGCGCTTAACGCTCTTGGGAAGCGCCTCGAGGAAGTAGGACTCGGCGAAGGGGCGGTAGACGCGGACGACGACAACACCAACCCTCTCGCCGGTCTTTGCAAGCCCGGCAGCGACCTGAGTGGCCAAGGAGCTCTCGACGGATCCAAACACAACGAGGACGGCATCGGGCTCTTTGTGGCCCTCGTACTCGAACATGGAGTATGCGGTTCCCAGCTCGGCGTTCAGGCTCTTCAGGATGCCATTGACCTTTGCGGCCTGGTCAACCTTCTTGCCAACCTCCGACTGCTCGGCCAAGATGCTGTCAAAGACAGTCTGCAGCCTGCTCTGCTCCAGCGCATCTGTGACCTTTGCGCTCTCGCGGGACACGGAAACACCATCATAGATATGCACTGTTGGGAGCACTGTCGCAGCCAGCGTGGCAAACAGCGCCATGTGCTGTGCCTCGTGTGCGGAGAATGACGCAACAAGACCCACGCCGGTCTCCTGCGCGACAGTCACGGCGGCATTGTAGTCGCTCACCATCTTGCCGGAGGCGGCATCAAGGTCGACAGCGGCGACGTGCGCCACGAACGGGCTGGCGGCCTCGTATGCGCTGGCCAACTGGTCGAGTGCCGAGCGCATGGGGAGGAGTGAGGCCGTCGAGGCAAGGATCGACTTTGCAACGGCCTTCTTCTCCGGGCTTGCGTCGGGCGAGAAGACGTATCCGAGCAGGACGTTGGCGGCACCGAGACGGGTCTCCATTGCGTTGACGGAGGTGACAGCGCCGCGGCCGTTGGTCTGGGATGCGGCGGACCATGACCTTGCGGCGGCGTCGAGGTCGAATGTGGCCGGGGAGTAGGAGAAGAGCTTGTCGGAGAGGGTGTAGGCGACTTGCTGGACGAGGGTTTGTGCGGTGGTGTAGGTTGTGCCGGAGACCTGGGAGAGGTCCTGGGGTGTGCTGAAGGGGAAGACGGGGTTGATCTTGTCGAGGGGGGTCTTCACGCCATTGGGGTGGGTGAGGGCTTCGGCGAGAGCCTGTTCCTGGAGATTGAAGACTGAGGGGGAGCCGCTGGTCTCGGGGGCTTGGAGACGCATGTTTGGTGGTGGTGGTAGGTGGAGGATGGAGGGAGGGAGGGAGGGAGGAGGAGGAGGAGGATGAGTGAAGAGTGAAGAGAAGAAAGAGAGCTTGGGTATATAGATAGATTATATGTCCCCACGGGGGGGGAAGAGGGAAAGAGAAAAAAAAAAGATTGCTTTGTAACAGATTCTAGCCAGAACACAATGGCCTAAGACTAATAAGACTCGTTCGGTTCAATTGCAACAGACCCGAGTGCCAGGGGTGGATTTACGGTATGGAAGCGGGTAAACGTGTGTGTATGCTTCGTTTTTCTTCTTCTTTTCTTTTTAGTACCAGCGAAGGGTTTTTATTCGGGGGGGGGGGGAAGGAATTAATAATATCCAGCTGTGATCATGACCATGGATGATGGGGGTCCATTGGAAAATCCACCCGGGGAAGTCATTACTATTTTACATTCACAAAGCGACCAGTTACGTTTTGCAGCCATTCCAGCTCTTTGTGCAATGTTCATGATGGGCTGTGTGGAGGAAATTTCGTCTTATTGACGTTGAGCACGCCATCGCCCTTGGAACTGACGTTACGGGCCCTGCATCCCTACTGATCGCGGGTCGAGATAAGATAAGATAGCAACTGATTGTAGCCGATCGCTGCAGCGCGCGATTAGATGGACGCCCGATTAGATGGACGCCCGATTAGATGGATGCTCGATCAGAGATTAGATAGCGATAAGGACCGCCGATAGCGATAATGGCGGGGTTGAAGGCTTTTTTTTTTTCCTTAAAACCTGCAAACCCCACCATTGGCCCTGCCCGACCTCACCCCGTCGAACCTCGAACCTCGAACCTCGAACCTCTCTCTCACCTCCCCCACCTCGAACCTCTCTCACCTCCCCCACCTCTCACCGCCAATTTGCTCAATGTCAAACAACGACATCTACCAGACCCCGCTGGCCTCGCGCTATGCCTCCCCCGAGATGGCCCAGCTCTTCTCAAACAAGACGCGCTTCCGCACCTGGCGCCAGCTGTGGGTGTGGCTTGCAAAGGCCGAGAAGCAGCTCGGCCTGCCCATCCCCGACGAGGCCATCACGCAGATGGAGGCCCACCTCGACCTGACGCCCGAGGACTTCAAGGTCGCCGAGGAGGAGGAGAAGCGCCGCCGCCACGACGTCATGGCCCATGTGCACGCCTTTGGCCAGGTTGCGCCTGCCGCTGCGGGCATCATCCATTGGGGAGGCATGTTTGCACATCCTGATATATTATTAGCTCCAATTGTCAGCTAACAGCTCATCCACAGCCACCAGCTGCTACTGCACCGACAATGCGGACCTGATCTTCCTTCGCCGCGGCCTTGAGATTGTCCTCCCCAAGCTGGCCAATGTCATCCACAAGCTCTCCACCTTCGCCGTGGCACACAAGGACCTCCCCGCACTCGGCTACACGCACTACCAACCCGCGCAGCTCACCACCGTCGGCAAGCGCGCCACCCTCTGGATCCAGGACCTCCTCTGGGACCTGCGCAACCTCACGCGCGCGCACGGCGACCTCGGCTTCCGCGGCGCCAAGGGCACCACGGGCACGCAGGCATCGTTCCTGGCCATCTTTGGCGGCGACCACGACAAGGTCGAGGAGCTCGACCGTCTCATCACCGAGATGGCCGGCTTCGAGTATGCATACCCCGTCACCAGCCAGACGTACAGCCGCAAGGTCGATGCGGATGTCATCAGCGCCATGAGCAGCTTTGGCGCGACGTGTCAGCGCATTGGAGGCGATATTAGGCATCTGGCGGCCACAAAGGAGATGGAGGAGCCATTCGAGAAGGACCAGATTGGCAGCTCGGCCATGGCGTATAAGAGGAACCCAATGAGGAGTGAGCGCATGTGCTCGCTGGGGAGGCATCTGGCCAACTTGTGCAAGGACGCGTTGGATACGTACTCTGCGCAGTGGTTCGAGAGGACCCTTGATGACTCGTGAGTTCCCCCCCCCCCCCCTTTTTTTTATGCTCTCTACATGTCACTATCGCTGTGAGATGCACCAAATGGCTAACCACTACTACCTACTCTCAGCGCTATCCGCCGCATCGACATCCCCCACGCCTTCCTCACCACCGACGTCCTCCTGCGCATCCTCGACAACGTCGTCTCCGGCCTCGTCGTCTACCCGGCCGTCATCGCGCGCCGCATCCGCGAGGAGCTGCCCTTCATGGCCACCGAGAACTTCATCATGCGCATGGTTGCGCTCGGCGCCTCGCGCCAGGACGCCCACGAGCGCATCCGCGTGCTGTCGCACGAGGCCAGCGCCGTGGTCAAGCAACAGGGCCGCGATAACGACCTCATCGACCGCATCAAGAAGGACGAGTTCTTTAAGCCCATCTGGGGCGAGATTGACGTGCTGATGGACCCCAAAACCTTTGTGGGGAGGGCGCCGGAGCAGACGGCCAGGTTTGTGGAGAAGGAGGTGAAGAGGGCGTTGGAGCCGTGGGTGAGCGTGCTGAGTGGGGAGGTTAGTGAGCTCAATGTCTAGGGAGTGGGGCTTTTATTTTTGCTGTGGGGTGGGATAGATAAAAAATAAAATAAAGACATTGGCATGGTATGATTGTGCCGAGTGAGATGTTGTGATGCTGCATTGCCTATGTTCGAACATTGTAACGGTGTGGGTGGGCTATTGTTGCGCTTGATGACCTCCCTCACCCCACTATCACGAAGTTATCCTTTCATTGGCGGAGAATCCTACACACTGCCCTACGAATAAAAACGTATCGGTATCAAGATTCCCATCAAAGACCTTCCCTCTAGCATTGCTATCCACACAGTGGGAGACACGCACTCCCCCCCTGTACGCGCCCTCCTGTTGCCTACATGTATGTATAGACAGACAGAGTACTCTGAGCCATTTCCCTGTCCGCCATCGACGTCGACTACATACACGGAAACCAACCCAGACGCATTGCTGCCCAGACTCTTTCATGTCACCACCACCACCACCACCACCACCGCCATCTTGGCCGTTTCTCCCATAGGCACAGACAGTCCCTAGATTTTGGAAAAGGAAAAGCTATCTGTACTTTTTTTTGTCTTTGAGCCATTTTGTTCTCAGGGATCGAGGGGGGGTTGGTTGTTACATGTATGTAGGTGCTTCATGGATAATCACTCGGTTTGGAGGTACATCCTCCCCCGCTGGATCTCGCGGTGGAAGGTTACCCGCAAACCGCTATCTCTAGCCGTTGCAGAGGTGTATGATCACTCCCCCTGTGCAATTTATGGGCCTGTTCAGCAGTGCTCTCTGTCTAAATTATGGTCTGCTGGCTAAGTTACTAGCTCGGCGTGTGAAAGCTAACCACCACCACCACCACCAGGTCTTTTTTAAGCCAGGCCCTCGAGGAACCGTGTGGCCCCTGTAGTGTAGTGGTGGCACACCCATCCGTAGATAAACCCGCTCTTCAGCTGAGAAATCCCGACTAGGGTAGCGGAGGTTCAATTCCTCCCAGGGGCTAACATTTTCTTTTTTGGTTGTTTGGTTTTTATTTTGCCCCCTTCCTAAGGGGCATAATGGAGAAAAATTGCCTACCCCTCTCACAAGTATAGTACGTATGGAGTGAGCCATAAGCCAAAAGGGACGTGTAAAAGTGTTCCTTTGCTAGCTATATAACTTCTGGCAACCAATTCATGACAGTAGGTATCTTCCAACAAGCTTCCAGGCAAGTTGTGTAATTCTACTCGAGCGCCCCATTCTCGTTGGGTTGATTCCCTAATTAGCTCTTTAGTTTGAAATCCCCATCAAGTTTATAGGCGGCGCGGAATACCCATCTGGAAAACCCGACCCACAACAAACCTCACCTCCCACATCGCAGCTCTTCCAGCTGGCCAGACTCATATTTGGTCCGTAGGGGATACACAGCGGAGCTTGGCGCCTTTGGGTGGTCTCAAACGAAGTTCCTAATTCCCGCCATCCATCGCTAATATCAAGGTTACTGGTCGACTGCTGGTATCAGTATTGATATTTGTGACAACAACCAGTTCAAATGGACAGTGAAACATCTCCCCCGAGTACTGGCACCCTATGCACCGCGCCGCACCGCACCGCACCGCACCGCACCGCACTCGCCTCGCAGCAGCCAGCAGTTGTCTTGTCTTCCATCCCCCCACCTCGAGGCAATTCGTGACGATGTTTTTTTCTTCTTTCGTGCCCCATCGGAACGAACCCGAAACCTTCCTTCCAGCGGCCGTTTTTTCTTTCTTTCTTTTCTTCCCCGGTCCGTATATAGATTTCTTAAATGGAGGCTTTGCTTTTCTTCTTCTCTCCTATCGTGCGACTACCTGCGCGTATTTCCAGATAGCGCTCAGTAGGGTTTTCGGATTGCAAGGCCCATATAACTGCGGTGGTGACGGTTACAGGGCCCGCCCTATATATGTGTATGTAGCCCACAAAACCACGTAACGCACAGCCCGCACAGTCCACAAAGCCGAGGGGGGCAAGGTAAACTTCCATTCCCAAACCTGTCTGTAGACCTCCAAAAAGGGAGAGCCAAACGAGCCAACGGGAAGTCCAAGCCAACAAGCCATTACATTACCCACGGGGCCTTCTCAGCCCCTCGATGACACCCAGAGGTTGAGAAATGGGGGAGTAAAGGCGGGCGACTTTACACCCCCTACTCCACACAGCAAGAAAACACAAAACACTGCTGTTTGAGGGCTGCTGTTGATATCGATGGTGGGGCGTGCAGACTGTGACGATGGCATGTGTGAGAGTGGAGGCGTAAGTTTAAGTTACCCCCCCCTCAGGGTACAATCACCGATTATCACTCGTAACACTAACCTCCACTCCCCCCCTTATTTCCCTTTGTAGTACAACGCCAAGCCGGTATGGAGGGTGGAATAGGAGACATGCGGCTCACCCGTTGTTCCCGTGCTTTGTGGAACTGAAAAGTGCAATTTCAGGAACCCGCGATCGGGTTGAGGTGGTTCTGGTCCACTCTAACTCTAGGGGGGGGGGGGGTGCTGGATATAGGGATGTGTGACGAGACAGAAGCACCTTTCCTGGCCGCTTGTAGAGGACGGGAATGAGAATTGTGCGGATGGGGGGTTCTTGTGTTTACAAGATCATTAATACAATCCAAGTTGGGGGGGGGTGTTATATCGTGGTAGAGATTTGACAAGTGCAATGGCTTTCCCGGTGCAAAATGCAGTCGTTGTAACTCTAGTTCTGCATGCACGAAAGGGGGATGCCCTCGACCTTCCATCACCACTAAAGCAAAACGAACAGCTTAAATTCACGGCACTGGCTGGCTGGCCATCTTTCTGCCATTCACCCAAATACTGCGGATATCATATCGGAGATTGGTCGCCTCGTCTGCCCGCACGCAGAAAACAAGCCGATGAGAGACACCGCCAGAACAGAGCGCTGGGCAACTGGCTTCTCCAAACGACGCCGAGCTGCCCGTCCTTGTCCGATCCGTGGCCGTGACCGTGACCGTATATATACGTATGCATGTAGTTTGTAGACTCGTCCCACAACATCTCCGTCATTGAATTGTCAACCAGTCAGTCGTCCTACATCCTCAACACAGTGCAAGTGCTGCCTACGACTGATCAACACCGGGCGAGTGAGAATAGTCACGGTGGGTGAGTGATAATCCATCAAGAAACAAAAGTGCAGCGGTCCCCACAAGACTACATACATGTTTGCCTGGACAAGTCCTACAGCACTAATCACCATTGACTATCATCCAGGCCCCCAAACATACATACAAGCCTCGCGATCGCCGAAGCCCAAGAAGAGCCCTCGCCGTTCCAGTTCGCCGGCAGAGTGATTTCCCATGATTGCCCCGCCACAGAAGCTTGGCTGGCAGATTATCACGTCACGTGGTGCGCGGGGAAGCTGCTCGCACGCTCTTGCTCACACACAACGTCACGGCGGCTCAGAAGCAGAAGTGGAAGAAGAAGCAATTGGAACTTCTCCCCATCCTCTTTCTCTCTAGCTAGAAAAACCATACACCCTCCACATTCACCACACTCACGGTACAAGATGGCCTCCTCCTCCTCCGATTCCACAACCGCCAGCAGCATCCCTCAGCAATCACTGTCCCAGTCCCGGTCCCAGTCCCAGTCCCAGTCCCAGCTTCAGTCCCAGCTAGATCCTATCGACATCAGCTCTCACAGCTTCAGCACGCCCTCAAAACGCATCCACAACCAACAGCATGTCGACCACTTCCTCACCTCGCCGGCCTACAAGCGCATCACCACCTTCATCCTCCACCTCAACGCCTCTGTCTCGCCGCTCGACCACTCTACAAACGCCCTCCGTAATCCCGCCCACTACACGCTCGTCTCCGAGACCATCGCCGTCTCCCCCGCCGTCCAGAACATCATCGACCTCCTCCACGCCCTTGACAGCCTGGTCGCGCAAGCACCGCCCGAACCTGGCCCTCGCCGCTTCGGCAACGTCGCCTTCCGCAAATGGCACGACCTCGTCGCCTCGTCGGTGCCCACGCTGCTCGACCAGCACCTCCCACCCCACATCGCCTCGCACCCCGGTGCCAGAGCCGAGATCCTCCCCTACCTACTCGGCTCCTTCGGCTCGGCGCAGCGCCTCGACTACGGCACCGGCCATGAGCTCTCGTTTGCGGCATTTCTCTGTTGCCTGTGGGTGCTGGCCGGGTTCGAGCCTGGCCGGGATGAGATCGCACTGACCTTGCGGTGCTTTGACGCTTATTTCCACCTGGTCAGGAGGCTAGTACTGACTTATACGCTCGAGCCGGCGGGGTCGCACGGCGTCTGGGGTCTCGATGACCATGCTTTTTTGCCGTATGTATTTGGCAGTGCGCAGTTGACGACCTATCCGCCCAGTAGTGGCAGCGGTGAGGCAGCGGCCGCGGCGGAGGTGAAGGCGCCAAAGATGGTGGATCCTGCGGTCGCGTCGGCGCTCGTGGATGTGCCAAAGCCTGGAGATGTGGTAACGAGCTTGGTGGTGGAGAGGGAACGCGTGCGCAATTTGTATTTCGGCGCGGTGGGCTTTATCTACGATGTCAAGACGGGGCCGTTTTGGGAGCATAGTCCCATTCTGTACGATATCTCGGGAGTGCAGGGCGGATGGGGAAAGATCAATAAGGTATGCGCAGTTCAGCTCTCTCTATCACACACTCTCCCTACTGTTCTAGAGTAGCTAGAATCCCTACTTGGGTACCCCTAGTTACTCTTGCTATTATTCTGCGCCGTATCGGGAGACGCTAATAATTGTTTTTTTTGTCTGTTATTTTTTATTTATTTCTCATTTACTAATTCGCAATATTTTCTTTTCTTCCAGGGAATGCTGAAGATGTACAACGCAGAGGTGCTTGGAAAGTTTCCGGTCGTCCAGCACTTTCCCTTCGGCAGCATATTCAAATGGGGTCCCAGTCACAGCGACACCACCACCGCCGCGACAAGTCAACACCAGAGCAATATCAATAATAGCAGCAGCAGCAGCAGCAACAGCAACTCCCGGGGAATTCCCGACACAGCAGCACCAACATCAGCCCCAACAACAAGAGCTCCCTGGGCTACTGCGACGAACAACTCATCATCAGCATCGCTATCAAACACCGGCGCGACAACCAGAGCTCCCTGGGCGGCAGCCGGAACACCATCCTCCAGCGCATCAATCGCCAGCAGCAGCAGCACCCCGTCCACAAGAGCACCCTGGGCGAAACCGCCAGCGCCCGACAACGTCATGACCACGAAACCCGGCGAACAGCCGCTCACCACTGCGCCCTGGGCCGCACCCCAGGTCCCGCCGTACCCCACATCGGCCGGCATGAGCGCCGCGCACCACCCCCCGCCGCCGAAGCAGCTGAGCGGGGAGGACACAGTTGCGCCGTGGAAGCTTGGCGGTGAAGGTGGTGCGGAGGCGGTGTCGCCGCCGCCGGTGACGGAGGCGAACTTGGGGCCGAAACGGACGTCGTCGCCGGATAGTAGGCTGGCGGCGAGCCTGGATGTGGTGGAGGCGGAGAAGAGGAGGGGCAGCCTGGGGACTGGTGGGGTCAGGGTTGCGGAGACGGGCGATCTGAGGTTGGGGAGGAAGGGGAGCGTGGTGAAGGGCGAGAATAACGAGTGAGTGTGAGTGAGTGGGTGAGTGAGTGAGTGAGTGGGTGAGTGAGTGAGTGGGTGAGTGAGTGAGTTTGAGAGATCACGTTCTGGGAAATGTGACAAACAGGCATCATGTGGTGTATCAACGCCGTTACGAGAAGGTCATCATCCTCATCCTCATAATCATCATCATTATTATCAACATGGCGTACTTGCTGTTTTAGTTGTTGGGCCAAGCTGTCAGACTTCAGTCAGTCAGTCAGTTAGCAGCAGCTTTAGTTAGTTTTCTTGGTTTTTGTTATAGTAATACCTAGCTCTGAATATATGCTATCATCACTCGAAACATGGATCGTCAGCTTTTTTGTGTGTGTGTTTTACTTTTTTCTTCTTCTGCCCGTGCTGTGTGCTGTGCTTGTGCTGTTTTATCGT